TATTTTGTCTCTGCATTTAGACATTTTATATAAATCGGCATTTAATGTGGATTAATCCAGTGTAGTGCGAGCGATCAAATTTACCATAAATTATCGTAAAACACTATCTTTGTTTTGATTCGCGCAATTACTTAGTTCGTTTTAGTTCGCAGTGCTTTGCATCAGTTCAAAGTAACACCGCAATTTGCTCCGTATTTGCTCTGTGCTTTTCCTATGCTTTTCAAAGTAAAGTCCGCGTAAAAGCGATGGTCGGAAGTGCCGAATCAAATAAATCGGCATTTGCTGGCGAAGTAATTAATGCGTATAATCGCGATCAAGACTTTTCATCATAATCATTAGAGAGTCGTCTCGCGTTAGAAAATGCACCGATTAGAACACTGAAATTTTTAAATATAAGATATGTCATTTTGCATTGACTAAATTGTTATTATATTGCTTTAGTTTGCGCGAGTCATAAAATTCGCTAAGCAATACGAAATGTAATCAAATGAAAGACATACACGCACACACGTATGATTTTCGTAATTTAGACTTTTATCGCCTCGCGGAAATCTAAATCATTGTGAGTGAAATCACTATCTTTATTTTAGGCTTAATTCGTGGTATTTCGCTTGAAATAGCGCCGCATATTTTCATTTCAGATTTTCTTCGTGCGTTTCCCGTTCAAAATAGGATCTGCATGAAAATTATGGTCAGAAATATCAAATCGAATGACAGATAATTACTGGAGAGTGTTAATGAATTTATATAATCGCAATTAATACCTTTCGTCACAATCATCGAACAGATATAGTCGCTGTTATAAATTGTATCAATTCTGAATTTCTTAAAATACATCATTTTACATTAATCAATTTGTCATTTCATTACTTTGATTTGTGCAAAATATACGGTCAACAAAATTCAAAATTTGCTAAACAATATATTGTTAGTAATTATTCAGCTAACATGAAATATGTAAAACATAGCTTATAGACTTGGGTGTATTACGTAAAATTGAATTAAGTCAAATGTAAAGTTGTGCTAAGCGCGAATTTATAACGTAAAAAGAGTATAGCGTGAGTGATTATAATTAACGGATGTGCGTGTGACAATAAATAATTGGCCTAAAATAAAGGTGTGCGTTAACGAGTGTAGTTCGTAGCGTTCCGTTTTGTCTTTGTATCAATAATACTTGGCATATATATATATATATATAAATTCAGTTTGTATTAATTCAACATAAATCTCTCAATCTCTCAAGATATCCATCAAATACGAAACGCGACCAAATTAGAAATTATACACGCATGGATGAGTTTATTCATAATTTAAAATCTACCATGGATCTCTAAATGTCTCATCATGAAATACCATTTTCGTTTTGATTCGCGTTGTCATTTTGCGCTTATTTGCGCTTAATTCGTAGTATTTTGCTTGAAATAGCACCGTTGAGAAAACGGTTCGTTCTGTATATTCTCCGCGCTTTTCCCATTCAAAGCAGAGCCTGCACGAAAATGATAGTTGGGAATATCAAATCGGGCAAAGGATAATCGCCCGAGAGTTAATTAAGGCTGTTTTCCTTTTAGGACACAAAGTATCTATCTTTAGAATGACATTTTTTACAAATTAATTCACATATTTTCAATTATTAATAATAATCCAACCCTTCTAATTACGTATTATTTTGTCACGATAATCTTGCAATCTAAAAAAAATTAAATTATTTATTAGCACTGAAAGTACGTAAATCGATTTGCACTTAATTGCACCAATTGCCGTAATCTGCACAACACTACACATCCGTTATACTCAGCCCGAGGGCTAATAATCGGCTGTCTACAATATGCGAAGTAAACTTGGTAAGAAATAAGAGCAAGAAATTGACCGATCGATTATTCTTCTCACATTCGACTGTGATTGGTCAATTTCTTACTCTTACTTTTTACATCAAGTTTACTCCGTATATTGTAGATGATATAAGAATATGATGAACGTGATACTGTTATGCTTTGAACCATTTCTTGATATCGGTCAATTAATAAAATTCTTTCTTCTAATTAATTAAAAAAAAATCAAATAGTTCAAAGTATTTGCAATGAGACTTTGACCGATATTAATAAGTTGTGTTCCATTATTCACTGCGAGTACTAAAATCTATAGTGCAGTGAATAATAGAACGCATTCGTTCGAATCGATTCTTATATTCAATATTAAGTACAACCTTAAAATATCAAGAAATCACAAGCGATATTTGTAGTCTTATTTTAATACGCACCTTAGTTTTTTGAGCAACTTTAGATACAGATGTTCGTACATATCTAATTTTCGCAAATTGATAATGCGACACACCTAGAGCGACTCGTACCACTGCCGTCCCCCTCCAAGGTCGCCGAGCGAATGCCGAAGTGATGACGTAGCGCGCTCCCCTTCGCTGTTTGCCGGGCGCCGTTTCAGATACCAACTGTCGCGTATGAAAAATATTCACAGTTTATTCAATTATTCGTATTTTACATGATTTTGACAAAGCGATATTGTGCATTTCGCGCTTTGCTTTGTGATATCTTTGGCACTTGTCCAATCCTATATTATTTGTTCTTTTAAACGTAATTATAGTAATTATTCGCGTGAAATATTTTCGATATTCCAACATTATGGGCGGTATTCATAGTCGATTTCTTATTTTAAGACCGTCTTAAGTAATGTCTTAAGTAATGTCGTAAGATGTTAATGCAGCTCTCTGATTGATTCATGACATCTTAAGACTGTACTTAAAACGGTCTTAAATATAAGATTCGACTATAAATACTAATCTACGTTTCAATTTTCATTATTCTTTTTAATGTTTCATATTTAAATAAAGGTTAATAATATTTTATATATCCTTTAAAGATACATTGCTCTACAGCTCTGGCTGAAAATATTTAAGACCATTTAAGTTTAAAGTAATGTCTTAAAATATTAATGCGGCTCTGAAATTAGTTTATGACATCAGACATTTCAAGATTGTATTTAAAATCGTCTTAAATATAAAAACTGATGATAAAATCGGTCCAAGAGCTGTATTAAGACATTACTTAAGACGGTTAAATCTTAAAATAAGAAGGGATTATAAATGTCGACCTTTGATCGCACTTTGGGCGGTATATTTATGGTTCGTTCTTATTGAGATCGTCTTAAGTAATCTTAAAATGTAGTTAGTTTTAAAAAAGTAATCTAAAATGCTAATACAGCGCTTTGATTGGCTTATAACTGTACTTAAAACAATCTCAAATATAAGACTCCGACTATAAGTATCGGCCTTTATATCACGCGGCGCTATCTTCATTTTGATTGGTAGTCACTTTGCACTAAGTTCATAGTGCTTCGCGCTCGCGAAGTAACACCTTGAAGTAACACGCGAGCTGACGAGCCTCGTTCCTTCCGTATTTTCCACGTATTTTTTCCGTTCGGAGCAAAGTAAGCGTGAAAATAATGGTTGGGAGTGTCGAATCGAACGACGGATAATCGCCAGAGAGTGCTAATTAACCCATATGATTGTAATCAATATCTCATTGTAATTGCCGAACAAACGTAGTCATCCGCATTAGAAACTACGTCACAGCATCGCGCGTCCGTTGGAACATGGTATATTTCAAAGTATGTTATTTCGCATCGTTCGATAGTTCGAGTCGCATCGGAAATTTCGTGCGAGTATTACAAATGACGATTAAACTACAGAGAAACAAGTAAAGCATTCGATAACAATAAGTTCTCGAAGTCGTATGATAATTCTAGTGTGTGCCGTGTGAAATTGCTGTTGCATCGTTTGAATTTTTCGTATGTATATATGTACATATTTATACGAATGTATCGCGCATTAAAAGAAAAGTGTCTGATATTTGTAAAATTGTAGTGTAAAATAATTATGGTTAGGAGCTCCATTTTTGTAGCTATTTTTGTACTGCTATAATGTTAATAATAATAATTACATTAATAGTTTTATAGAGAAAGAATGATTGTGCTGAATAAAAATTTCCTGGGTAGCAAGTTAACGTTATTTACATCAAAATTCTTTAATATATCATTTTAACGTCAAAATGATGACAGATAACGTCAGCTTACTAAATTGATACAGATCTGAAAATAACTTTGTTGGATCATTAATATAATTATGCAGGAAATTCGAGCATAATGAGCAATGCTATTAAGTTTTCTAGCAATCTCCAATTCGAATATTCTGTATAATTATTTCAACAGTTCAACAAAATTGTTTTCAGATTTGTATTAAACTTTTGGATATTCAGCAAAACTATTCTTTTCGTGTAAAAAAAAATCTACTGATGCTCAAGGATGGCAAAAATCAGTGTGCTTCTTTGAACTTCGTGCCTTTGACAATAACAAAACACCTTCACACTGATGATATTACCATCGCTGAGTGCGCGAAATTCTAGCTTTATCATTTGTAAACTCATCCCTTTTGAAAACAATTATAGCCTCGGTATTTTTGTATTATAGATTTTTCATCTGAAAATATTACAAAGAATCTGCTTTAAAATATTTATCATCAGTTTTGAGACTCTCTGTACACATTTGATACCGAAATTGGCTATACAAATTACGACTAAATTATATATTAATAGCAATTGTTTTTTTTTTTCATTTTCAGCGCACGTGAACTTGGCAAATGGGAGCGAACGAACCAGAAAGAATAACATTTCTTGGAAATGTACGTCCCATTCAAGGGTAACAATTGACACGCGCGCGCGTATCAAAATAAACGCATAGACAGTCGTGTGTCGTTCGTTGGTCGTGGTTAGGGGCAATGTCGTTTTTGTGTGCGTAACGTAAGATTACGAACGAAAGATAGGTACGCAACACGCACGGCACGGTACGGTGCGACGCGACGTAGCCGCGATACAGTGTAACGTCACTAACGTGTAACGGCAGGTTGTGGCGGTGTGGCGGAGCGGTAGGGGATCGTCGAACGTTCGGGTGAACTCGGCTGGCTGCCGATGTCTCACGAAGCGCAAGCGCTCCAAAAGTAAAGCGCGCGGCAGACGGTCTTCGCGCGTCGAGCTCACCGGTCGCTCTTTCACGGTCACGCCTCTGTCGTTGTTACTAGTCGACATTCCGCGGACGAGGAACGAGGAACGGCTTATATACGGCAACTCCGAAGATTCGGATCGACTTTCGATCACATTGATCGCGCGTTCCCCCGCGACTCGCGCTCGCGTCGTTAAAATCAGATCTCGCGTCGTTTCCGATTCGGCGATTCTACGAGTTTTTTGTGTTTCATCACCGCACCGCGGTTTGCGAAACAACCTGAAGTTCGCCGACTTGGAGGAATTTGGTTCGCGACAGTGTTTTCTTTTGTCTGTGATGTGCACGAGAGCTACGAGCGGCAGCGGCAGCGGCATCAGGATGACGACGTTCACCATCACCGTCTGGGCCTGTATCATCGCCGTGCTGTGTTCATCGATTGTTGAAGGTGCGCGTGTGGCATAAGTTACATAATCGCACGGTGAAATCCCGTTATGACGAGATCGATATTTTTTTTTCAAGGCATCGCGCCGCGTCGGCCGGCCGCGATTGGCCATTACCGGTCATTACCCAGCAGGGTATCGGACACGTCTGATACACCGCGAATATCGCGATACGATCAACTCGATTCTAGATGGGATTCGTTATAATGAGATTTTACCGTGGTTTTTATATCCGGTCGTATATTGCGCGCTTTTCCGGCGCGGCGCAACGAGGATTCGTTTCGAATCCGGCGCGCCAATAAAACGCGCAACCTCGATCGCGATTTATATCGCGCTGTCAAACATCTAATATACAGTGGCAGCGTTCGCCAAAATATTTATTTTGCAACTGGAAAATTTTTTTTTTTTCGTGCTCATTGGATTATATTTTTAAATGTAGAGGAATAGTCTTCTGTCAGCGAAGAAGATACTCTTAACAGTTGTAAAATAAACGTTCTGCTGAACGCGTCTAATGGCTGTGTTTAGTAAAAAAAAAAGCAGTTTTGCAACTGTAAGATTCTTTACACCTCCCGTATGGCATATAGATCATTCCAGCAATATCGCAGCGAGATCATTGAGTACTAAGCTATATCTTTAATGGGATTAACAGGATTGAATTTGAGTGATTGAATTGATAGTGTACTTATTTTTTCTTTTCTTGTGACTTAATAATTAAACTGTTTACGAAAATCTATAAATATTTATTATTAAACGTGAAATTTATCTTGTGTTACATCAATTAAGAGTGTCCTACTTCGTCGGATGTAAAATTTACCAATAAAAGATTAATATGATTCGTTCTCTTGCGCGCGCGCTTTTCCTTGCTGGACATAAATTTATAAATCAATCATATTAAAAAAATCTTCCAGCAGTTGCAAATCTACTTTTTTTTATTGAACGTAGCCAATGTACCGAGCGAATATAGCCGCAACAATTTAACCTATTCATGAAAAAAAAAAAAAAGAGAGAAAAGAAGGAAGACCAGGAGACGTAGCTTTCCGATCTCTCGTGACTTTTACCTCACGGAAAGCAAACGCGTTTAGGCAAATGACGGGTACAACTCGCTCGCAACTTTTTCCTCTCTCACTGCGAACGTCGCAGCTTCGTGTCGCACGTTTGCACGCGCTAAAGATACGCAGGAAAGGGAAACTCGTGTGTGGGAAAACTCCTGTGTGTGCTTTGAAGTCGGAAGAGGCGAGAAAGGTTCGGTGTGCGGCGGCGGTGATTCTTCACGCTACGTGCGCTCTGCGTGCGGAACGCGAACGCGTAACGAAGACGCCCGTCGACGTATGAAACGAATATAAACGCCGCTGGCGGGAAATGTATCCTTCTCGAGATTATTCGCTACGCGGTATGTCAGCGTTCAGCGTAGGAGCTCTAAATATATCAATGTGCACCATGTTTGACCTAATAACCATGTCATGTTAACTTTTAAGTAGGTAAGTGAGGTGCTCCGAACACCTCACACAAGTTTTATTTTATGTTTTTTAACAGTATAGACTTTCTAGTATAAGACAGTAAGCCATTATTCAAGCTTTAAGTCTTAAGTCGTAAGAAATTAACCAATTATAGTTGATTATTCTTCTTATATTTGACTGTGTGATTAGTCGATTTTTTATGACTTGACTTAAATCTTAGATAATAGCTTACTGTAGAAAGCTTCTTGAATTTATATTATTATTTATATTCTTTATGGAATAGAGAGATGTAAAAGTAATGAACTTTAATATTTCTGGGCAATTCTTTTTACTTTTCTTTCCCAAATATCAATGTTTTTAAGATAACTGTATAGAGTTAGAGCTATAGTCACCCATAGCACGGATCATTCCAGCAATATTGCAGCAACATTGCAACGTTCCAGTAATATTTCAGTAATTGCAAATGTTTCAGCAATGTTGCTGTAAAGACACCTATCTATTTAAGCGTTAAAGAATTACTAACAATTAGTTTAAAAATAATAATTTGTAAATTATTTATTACTCACTTATTGGAGGATAGAAAACCAAAATAACGGTCAAAATAACCAACAGGAAAATTGTCTCTGCATATGACTCTGACAAAAAATTGACACTGCCCTGGTATACCTAGAGCTCTAATCCAACGGAGACCGGGGTGAGATTTGACTTTCTCCTGAAACACACGGCGCTCTCGTTTCGAGGGAGACGAATTCTCGGGTAATGGCGCGTGGTAAACGTGACACCGGCAAAATATTTCGCTGATAATTAATGAACCGGTTCGTGAGTGCGATACGTCCTGGCGCACAATGGTCGATTAATAGGACCATATTGATATTAAATTTAAATATAAAATTCTCGAGGGGAGGAGCGGGGGAGGACAATTTGTAACACGGTGTAGACATGACGAGCGAAATTCGCTGAAATTACGCGACGTGATTATAATGAATATGAAATTCGATATAGGCGTGAATATAAATATAGCACTGCGCGTACGTATAATATAATATATATGTACAAGATTCGGCGCAGGTGATTTATCACGAGACATATAAATGTAATGTGTGTAGAATTCGATTAAAATGTGCAGCAGGGTAAATATAATACGTGCAAATACTGGGAGGATTTTATAGAGCAGAAAGTACGTACAGTAAATATACGAAATAATCGCAGGGATCGGGAGATACAATAGGCAATTGCGTTTGCGAAATTTAAGAAACGATTAATGGCGCATGGAATCACAATGCAAAATTCAAAGACTAATTAATATTTCGTCGTAAATATAGCATACGTTTGAAAAATATTTACGAACGAGATATTATGATTGTTCACGTATGTTTGTTCGCGTTCGAAACACAACGGTTTCTTGTGACACTATAGTAGATTGGAGCTAATCGATCATTGAATCAGATAACGAAACTATAGTAGGATCGTTATTGTGGGTACGTGCAATGGCTTAAAAATTATATATGGTGCAAATGTATGCATTTTATGCTGCATTCACGTTTGGAGTAACGCGATGATAATACACGATAGATAAAAGAAGATTGTCATATAATAAATAATTAGGACATTTTTTTATATAAAGCAAATTGAAAAGAGTATGATGCAACGGAATTGAAGTAAATTTTTCATGATGTTTATGTCATTTCAGTATGATATATCAGCGTAATGTCTATTGCAATTTCTCAGCATACAAAAGCAACTTGATTTTAAAATCCAGCGGAATTATATAAAGATATTACTCCGTTTCGTTTGTAAATATAATTTTTCTTCTTGCTGTTTGTAGAATCGATTTTTCGTGGAATCTTTGTTGAGAAACTCGCTTTGAAAGGGCCGACTTTTCTCCATCATCGTATTAAATAACTTTAATAACCAATAGGTTATCGCAACGTTATATGTTTCAACGTATTACATTTCAAGTCAGATAGGGAGATAATTGTTCTTTGAACTTCATAGTTACAATTTAGTAGTAAGTTATGGAGATAGATATTACCGTATAATCCTTTCACTTCTGAGAAATTTGAAATGCTGATTGCTCGCCCTAATATCATAATGATAGGCATTCTGTGTAAAATGCATATTGAATAATTAATGAATATTAAAATATTACTTGAATAATTGTATCGTCATTAATGTTTTGCTTCTTAATTATTATATTCAGAGGAAAAAATGTATATACTTTTTACATAACCTTTAATTATAAAGAAAAAAAATTTTTAAAAGTTTTTAAAAGCGTAGTATTAAAAGAATTAGAGAAAAACAAGACCCAGAATACAGAATTCGACAAGATACAATTTATTTGTTTTAACACAATAATCAAATTTGCGATATGAAAAAAATTTTATAAAAGCGAATGTATTGATTGGTTTACTTGTTGTATCCGTAAGATTAATATTGGTACGGAAACATGTTTGTTATTTTGGTATGACTTGTAGATCTGTATAAAATACAATACATATTTATATACGTATTTCTGATAATTCTACATTTTATAGTGTAGAATTTTTGAAATTATGATTTTCAAAAGTTATTACGTATGAAACCGTAACACGCTAAATAAATTTGATACATAGGATTTATTTATATCGAATATTTCAAATAATTAGCTAGTTATTTGATTTTTTGCTGAGCAAGATTTGTTCTATAAAGGTGAATTTATGTAATTGTATTAATTTTCTTTCTTATTAATATGCATAATTAATTTTATGTATTAGGAAAATTGAGCATCAGAGATTTTTTAAATGTCAAACAAAAAGTTAATATCTTGTAAAGAAATTGAAGAAAGAATATTAATGAAATTCATGTTTTATTTAAATTTTAGAAGTTGACTTTGATTAATTTGATTTAAGTAGTAATTACTTTTTTGAAAAAAAATTTTGAAAAGTGACAAGTAATGGCTTTCCACCAAATTTTTGTTAAAGAGAAGTCAATTTCATATTCGCTATGAAGAATTCTCTCATTAATATTTATCAGATTCATACTCTTCCTGTATATCGTGATGATGTACTTGCGTGATTTTAGTCGACCGGCGCTATTTAAATATTTTAATGTTAAATTACTTTCAATTAATTGACGTGAAATATTAGCGAACCAAGTGACAGCCGATCATCCACAGGGAAGCATCGCTCGGATAAACAATTACTATCACGATATAATTGAAGAAAATTTCTTGTTACCCGCGAATAACTTGTCGCAACCTATTAAGGTTTTAGATCGGAACGTTAATTATTTTGCAATTATCGTAGCAGTCTTATTTAAGAGCAAGCACATCGAAACTCGTTACATTATTTCTCACGATACGAGATTAATTCTCAACAGGACAATTATTTTCTTGTTATTTGTTATAAAAGTGGAATAATTTTATAGAGGTGAAATAAGTTGGTTTTGCTTCGTTTGATTATCTTTTTTTATTAAATATTTCTTATTATAAAAAAAAATTTTGAAAAATATTACTTTTCTTTCGATACCATTAAATCAATCGGTTAAGTATCAGAAATTCGTATAAGTTA